GCTGTACTCGCTAAAATGTGCGCAGAAGAGGAAGCTGCAAAAACAAGAATATCTTCCTAGAAGAGCAGATAGCATGGTGTAAGGGTTCACACCTGTAAACCCAGCACTACTCAGGCAGGAGAGACAGGATGAATGTCATGAGTTCAAGGCCAGCCTGAGTTACAAAGTAAGACGGTATCTTCAAGCAAACATCAGTAGCTCAAGGTTACCGTTAGCTCCATGGCAAGCTTGACCAAGCTTGACTACAGTCTGCCTACAGGAGACCTGAGAAAGAGGAGAGAGAGAGAGAGAGAGAGAGAGAGAGAGAGAGAGAGAGAGAGAGAACATGTCACCGTAACTCCTGACCCATCAACACACATGCCACGTCCATGGCTCATGGACTTTATTCATTTTCTTTATTGTTCAAGAATAACAATAAAGAGCACACGCCTTTAGTCCCAGCACTCAGGAGACAGAAGCAGGGAGAGGATTTTTTTTTGTGTGTGTGTATGAGTGCCCTATCTGCATGTACACCTGATGCCAGAAGAGGGCATCAGATCACATTATAGATGGTTGTGAGCCACCATGTGGGTGCTGGGAATTGAACTCAGTGCTCTTAACCTCTGAGCCATCTCTCCAGCAGGTCCCTTTTAAAGCCAGAAAGGGAAATTTCCACTATGGCTACATAACCTCAATTGGAATTGGCCGGTGTCCATGCAGGCTACCTGACTAGGATCAGGAGTTAGGGGGCTTTTCCAATGGGTAGTTAAGCAACCTTACCTTCCCCAGGCCAAATGTCTTGGCTGTTTCTGATTGGTTGCCCTTTCTGTTGTTTTTCCTGTAACTCTTAGGCCTGTTCTGTCTAGGCAAGAAAATGAGGCCTGTCATGGAGTTGGTCAGGCTTATTTAACCAGGCTCTCTCACAGGTTTATACAGAGGTCAGAGAATGACATCAGGTGTCCTATTGAGGTCTCTCTCTAAACCTGTAGCTCGCCAGCATGCTGAGCTGGGCTGACAAGCTTGCTCCTGGGACACCCATCTCTAGCACCCTAGTGCCAAGAGTCCAGCCATGGTGCCATCATAGCATTTACCTGAGTGCTGGGGACATGCCCTCCAGTCCTCAAGCTTGCTTGCCAAGTGCTTTAACTGCGGAACCTCAGAGCCTCCCCCACCCTTCATTATGTTTATTATTTACTTACTTATTTGTGTATTTATTACTGCGTGCCACAGGGATGGGAAGGGCAGAGAATAACTAGCAGAACATTTCTCCTTCCATCATGCATTCTTGGAATCTTTTTCTTGTAGTTTTTGAGACAGGGTTTCTCTGTGTAGCCTTGGCTGTCCTGCCCTCACTTTGTAGACCAGGCTGGCCTTGAACTCACAGCAATCCACCTGCCTCTGCCTCCCTGAATGTTGGGATTAAAGCTGTGCACCACCATGCCCGGAGCATCCTGGGATTTTTACGCAGTTAATCAGGCTTGGCTTCAAGTGCTTTGTCTACTGAACCGTACCATCAACCTTCCCCAGCCCTTAAAGAATTAATTTTCTAAAAGTATTTTTAGCTGGGCATGGTGGCATGTGCCCTGTAATTGCTGGTGAAGGAGGCTGTATCAGTAGAATTGCCACAAATTTAAGGCCAGTTTGATCTACATAACTAAAACAGTGAAGATTCTGTCTAATAATAATTAATCAATCATGTATTCTTAGTGTTTCAACATTGGTCTTTGAACATGATGTAGTTAAAATGTAGCGAGTTAATCTATTTGAATAGGATGTAGTTAAAAGGGTAGCAGGACCCAGGAATCAGAGAGCACATGACTGTCCAGTACAGCCTGCCAAGCATTTTCCACTGAGGAGGAGAATTTATGTTGGCACGCACTTCCTCAGTGCAGCCAGAAGATGGCAGTCTTGTCTAGACGCACAGTAAATTGGAGCCCCGGGTTTCCCAAGGCTCTGGGAGCGAAGAATTCCTCTAAGGTCTCGGACAAGTACGTGGGCACCCTGAAGTGGCTGTGTGTGGACGCAAGCTTTAGGTTTATTCTGTGCACTGCGTAGGCCTTATCAGCTTGATCTAGAAAATGATTGCTAGAGAGATTAACAGAAAAAAATCTTCTAAAACACAGATTCTGCAGAGTCTGAGGCTCAAGGGAGGTGCTTCTTAGCTGCACTGCATGTAGGCGGAGAGGCTTCCGGCTATAGGGCTCAGGGAGTGGCCGCGCGCTGCGGAGCAGAGGGGAGGAGGCACAAAACAAGGATTTCTGGTTACCCAAAGTCGCCAAATCGAAAGTCACCTGTGATACCTCTGTCCGGGCAAGTGTCAGATCCCAATCTCCTCTTCTGGGAAAAGACCTTCCTTAGGCAAAAAGGAGGGCCTGTCACAGAACCTGCCTATAGCCACCAGCTGGCCAATACAGTTCCCTTCACAACGGCAGCCTCTTTAATCCGTCCACACAAGGCATGCAGTCTCTCTAATAACCAACTCTAATGCTGGGCATGATGGCACACACCTTTATTCCCAGCACTCAGGGGGCAGAGTAGGGCAGAGTTCAAGGCCAGCATAGTCTACATAGTGAGCTCTAACTAACCAGGCTATATAGAGAGACCCTGTCTCAAACAAAAAAAAAAAGAAAAAAAAAAAAACAACTCTACAATGCCACACACACATGCAACACATCCCTGGGGCTGGATATTTTACATTCACACACACATGGAATATCTAAGGTTCCAAAGTGCTGGACCACTTATTTTTTTTTTTATTTTGAGACAGGGTTTCTCTGTGTACCCCCGGCTGTCCTAGACTCGATGTGTCGACCAGGCTAGCCTCAAACTCACGGAGAACAGCCTACCTCTGCCTCCCGAGTGCTGGGAATAAAGGTGTGCAGCACGCCCAGCTTTTTGTTCTGTTTTGTAACTGGGCCACTTGTAAGGCCCTTCTGCTGAAGGACCGTTAACCCGCTGCTGAAGCTTTCCTGCTCACTGCTTTCCTGAGAAGGCCACTTGTTCTCTCTCTCTCACTCTCTTCATCTATTCAAGAGGGATCAGCAGGGATCAGACTCATGAGCAGTCTGGTGCACACAGGCCCACTTGTTTGCTTTGGCTTTTGGACGGGGTCTTAGACAGTCTAGACTCACTGTGTGGTGAAAACCGTCCTCCAGCTGCGAGCATTGTTCCTGCAGGCGATGCTGCCTCACTGGGCTTCCGGTGCTGGACTCCACAGTTACTCTGCGGATTTGAGGCTGTGTGAGTGGCAGCATCCTGCACCTGCTGAGCACTGCCCTCAGCACCAGTCCTGTAGCTGGTGCAAGTTCCATCTGGATTGGCCGGCGGGGGCCACCTCAGTAAAGCGCTTGCTCACAGAGACACGTGAGCAGGGCCTTGCCTGTTCTCTTTGGGTATAAGCAGTGATAGCTGCGAACTTTAAAAACTCAATCAGAAAAGACTCAGTGAACACATCCTCACTTGTCCCAGGAGCTGCGGAGTGTCGTGCGTACACAAATAATGGAGGATGAAGCATTGAGTGTGAATTGGGTTGGCAGAAGCAGGTATTTATCTCCTGGGACACTTGACTCTGCATTGCAGAAAATGCTGCTTGTGTCCAGGACTCAGCATAAACATATCCTCCTCACTTCCATTCTGAGCATTTGCTGTCACTTCTCCTCACTTCTCAGTGCAGACAGCACTGCTGTGGCATTGTGCTGTCGCTGACAAAAATGGCACGCAGTCAGATAAAAGGAGCCAGAGCGCTCAGGTCCAAACACAGCTGCACTGACAAGCCCAGCGGCAGAGCGAGTAAGAACGACTTGAGAGTTAGGGGGTGGGGAGGTGGAGCCACATGGCTGCCAAGCACTTAGAGGCTACTATTTTGTCCACCTAAAGTTTGGGAGAAGCCAAAGAGGCCCAAAGTGCTCTGCATCATGTCAGGACTGGCCCCTCTCCCCGCACAACATTGTTGCGTCTGTGATTCCAGGCTAGAACAGGTAAGCAGCCGAGCAGGACTTGGGGGGCAGAGACAGGAGGATCTCTGTGAGTTCAGAGCCAGCCTGGTCTACATAACAAGTTCCAGCCCAGCCAGGGCTACACAGTGAGACCCTAGGCCCTCAACCAACACAGTAACAACAACAGCAACCGCGTCTGAGTAACAAGAGGCTGTAAGGGCTGAGCATCAAGGATTGATTTTGAAGGGACCCTGCAGGAGCTCCATGAAATGCACAGTGCAGAGAAATGGCTGCCAGGCAACGGATGACTGTTGTTACTGTTGTTTTGTCTTGTTGGTTGGTTGGTTGAGACAGTCCGACTGTGTAGCCTAGACTTGCCAGGAATTTCCTATATAATGCAGCTATCCTCAAACTCACCAGGCTCCTGCCTCAGCTTCTAGAGTGCAGGAGCTACAGGTGTTTCCCTACAGGAAGTGCTTTGTGGAAAAGCAGGTACAGTAGCCACCCTTCTAGCTATTTTTGTTGTTGATGTTGTTTGTTTGGTTTGATTTGGTTTTACAAGACAGTGTTTCTCTGTGTCTTGGACTCACTTTGTAAACCAGGCTAGCCCCCAGCTCATAGAGGTCCACCTGCCTCGCCCTCCCTGAGCACTGGGATCACAGGTGTGTGCCACTGTGCCCAGCGTTTGTTTTCCCTGTAATGACCTGGAACTCCTGATTCTTCCATATCTCCACCTCAAGTGCTAGGATTACAAGCATGCTGGGGCGAGAGGAAGAATTTGTATGACAAGGTGCATCTGTGAAGGTCAGTGGAGTCGGTTCTCTCCTAGCTTTACCTGGTTTCTGGGGAGTAAGTCTCAGGGCAATAACGTAAGATGGAGAGTCTCAAAACAAAAGACCCAGCCCAGGCCTGAGGATGTAGCTAAATGGTAGGCTGCTTGCCTAGAATGTAGGAGGCCCTGAGTTTGATCCACAGGGGTCAATCACATATATATATATATATATATATATATATATATATATATATATATATGTATGTATGTATGTATGTATGTATGTATGTATGTATGTCTCTCTCCTTCCCCAGCCATCGAGCTGATAAAGGACCTGATCCACTACGATGTGCGCTTGCCTCTGCTCAAGGGCCTCGTGACACTGCTTATCCCATCAGCCAAGGATACATCCAAACTGCAGGCCAAGATCTTCACTGGTAGGACTCCTGTTATGGGACTGCCCCTGGAAGAGGGAAAGACTTCCTGGCTGATGGTCCCTCATTTCTTCAGATTCTTCACTTCTCCAGATCACAAACCAGCTACCTGTGTTCCTGCAGCAGGCTGCAGCTGCCAAGACCATTGGGTAGGGCCGAAGAGGGAGTGGGTGGTTGCAGCAGTCCATGCCGGACCCTGTCTGCAGGCCCATATGCACCTGCGTGCCTTCTGAGCGCTGGGGTTAAAGGCGTGTGCCGCCATGCCCGGCTCATAGGAGAGAGATGCCAGGGCATCTCTGTGAGTTCAAGATTATCCTTGTCTACATAGTTGGAGGCCAGCCAGGGCTGCATGGTGAGACCTATTCTGAAAAGAGAGAGAGAGAAGAAAGAAAGAGAAAGATAGAAAAAGAAAAAATCCCAGCACTCAGGAGGCACAGGCAGGCAGAGATCTCTGTGAGTGTGAGGCCAGCCTGGTCTTCAAAGCAAGTTCCAGGAAAAGCCACCAGGGCTGTTAACCCAGAAGAAAACCCCATCTCAAAAAACAAAAACAACAACAAAAAAAAAGAGCCTTCTCAGGAAGAATTGCACTCACTGTTTTTTGTTTGTTTGTTTGTTTGTTTTGTTTTAGATAAGGTCTCTATGGCATAGGGTCTATGTAGACAAGGCTGTTCTGGAACCCTCTACATAGACCAAGCTTGCCTGGCACTCACACAGATCCACCTGCCTCTGCCTCCTGAGGGCTGGGATAAAAGGCGTGCACCACCAAGGCCGGGTCAGCTGGAATTCTTGTTTCTCAGCTGGAGAGAGACTCCAAACTTGGGGGTGAGGGCCTCCTTCCCCTTCCGATGTCCCCAGAGCCTTTTCTGTCTTTTTATCCTTCCTCACAAGGATCCTGGCACGCAGTGACTTCAGCCTGGCAGAGGACCTACTGCGCTTGCGCGTGGTCCACTGCCTGATGTCGGCCATGGGCAACACGGACCACAGCAACAGCCAGAGGCTGGCCAGCCTCACACTGGAGGTGCGCGGTCTGGGGTGGACATATGACGTGGGCAGGACACAGGGAGGTCAGGTCGGTGGGTACCCACACTCTCCTGCCACCCCACCCTCTCTGCCGCAGTACTTCGTGCAAATGTTCTCATTGGTGGAAGAACATGTCCGCAAGTCCATGGGGGAGGAACTCTACCAGCTCTTCCTTGTAAGTATCCCCGCCAGGCTCAGCGGTTGCCCGGGACAGAATGGTAGCCCCTGTGCACAGAATGACTCTAGTCTCCTGATGCCCCTCAACACACACACACACACACACACACACACACACACACACACACACACACGCTGTCTTCTTTGTCCCCGACCTGCCCTAGCTATCAGCAGGACCTTTCCGCCTAAGCGGCTCTCCTTGCAGAAACCCTTCCTCCCTAGCCCAACTCCAGGAGCACACTGCTCCGGTCCCCCCTGCTTCTATTCTCAGAGCAATGCCGAGCTCTTGTACACAAAAATGGATAGCGTTCAGGCGGACATCTTGGCAGCCAACAAAGTCAATGTTAGCAGAGGTGAGCAAGGGCTGAGGGGACCCGGAGCCCAGGCAGAGCCAGCCCTCAGGCTCACACTGGCCTTTTGCTGCCTGCAGCGTTAATCCTCACTGAAAGCAAAGACTCCAGCAGCTTTTACTTGCGCGTTGGAGGTTCGAATCAGGTGGAAGAGGACACCCAGTTGGAGAAGCCTAAATCAGAATCCCAGGAGTGACAGAGCCCCTGTGGCAAAGCAGGAAGGCTGAGGCTGTGTTTGGGGGAAGCCTGTCCGGCAGGCCCTGGGTGGGAAGCTGGGAGTGGGGCAGAGGGGAGGCCGTTGCCAGAGAAGAGCCTAATAAAGTCTTTTATTTCTGTACTGGGTGGTGTGAATGGAAAGGAGGGCTAGGGAGCTATGTAACAGGGTTGGGGCGTGCTCCTGCTTATCAAAAGCAGGTCCCAAGGGAAGGGTTGTCAAGACTGCTGAAGGGCTCCAGGGCACAGTGCAGCGAGCCTCTCAGACAGCGGCTCTCCACCTTCCTAAAGGCTCTCCACAACCCTTTAATACAGTTCCTCGTGCTTCGGTGACCTCAACCACAAAATTATTTTCACTGACACTTCACAACTAATTTTGTTACAGTTATGAATCATAATGTAAACATCTGTGTTTTCCGTACTCTCAGGCAACCCCAGACAAAGGGACCCACTGCTCTGAGCCACCTCATACACAGCTGCTTCCGTCCCACCTTTTGCTTTGCTTTTGTTCCCTCGGCTCCTGTTTCCAGACAGACATTTACATTTTGGTTTGTGCTGCCTTTAGATTTTGCTGCTTTTCTTTACTATGTTTTAAATGTGGTCCCGGCTTTCTTGGAATTCACTCTCTGTAAGCCAGCACTGCCTGCCTCTGCCTCCCAGGCACTGGGACTCGAGGGCCTGTGCATAGAAAAGTGAGAAAGAACTCAGCAGAGTGGGAGGTGCTCCAAAGAAGGGATACAAGAATGCTTATCTCTTTTCTGGTTATGGATGACCCACTCGGTTCTATTTCTTGGCTAACTCGTGGCTTGCCCAAGTAACATTTTGCCAGAATCACATTCTACTTTTTGAAACTATTGTTAGCCTTGCAAATAACAAGGCCTCAAAAAATTGGGTTAAGACTCAGAGTTGTTCCTCTCCACGGAAATCTTTAGTAAAAGGCGAAAGATTTATACGATCTGAAGAGAAACCAGAGTATGACTCATGACTGTGGCATGTAGTTCTCGTCTGACCGTAAGTCTTAGATCACCAATGGTAACTTTTTCCTCAGAAACACACGTAATCCCTGTGCGTGATCTACGTCTGTTACAGTCGTACCATTATGAAATAAACCAAGACAGAAAAAAGAAACCAGAGTTTCTGGTTTAAAATTCAGTAATGACCTCTGTGCAATGCATTGTGGGTATGTAAAGGAGCCAAGTCGCCACCCTCAAGTCTCTGGAAATACCTTAAGAATCTCACACCCCTCCACCGTGTAAAGATGTGGGCCGACCACCGAGGGGCAGTAGAAACGCCAGGTTTTCGAAATGGTAAGCAGTCTAACTTAAGCCACTCCACGAGAACAGCTCTTCAAAGAAACGTAGAGCCCTAGTCTGTACACGAGGCACTGGGTTCCACCCTCCGCATTACCCAGTAAACAACAGCGAAATGATTGTATTAGCATACCCATTTAACACAACAGATGTAGCCTCCGAGGTCCCTGTCCTAAGACCCAACAATGTAGCAAAGCACGCCAAGCCCTGATAACGAAAAGTTCAAAGACACAGGAGTCTGGAACTAAAGGGTCGAAGAGAAGCAATGGGAAGGGGCAGAGAGACACCAGAACTTTACTCAGTTTTACTTCGAATGAAGTGGGGAGCTATTTAAAGCTCTGCAGAGAACAATACAACTGGACAGTTGCCAGCTTTTGTTTGCTTGTCTGGGACAAGATCTCTTGTAGACCAGGTCAGCCTCGCTCTCTCCACCTAGGTGGAAATGACTGAATTTGAGATGGGCCAACACATCAAACTTGTTGTTCTTGTTCCAGCTTGGTGGTTTTGTTTTGCTTGGTTTAACCCTGGCTTAGAACTGGCTATACAGACCAGGCTGACCTCGAACCCACAGAGGTTTGGCTGCCTCTTACTCCCGGGGGGGGGGGGGGGGGGGTTGGGTTACTAGCACAGCATGTAAGGGTAACTGATAACTCCCACCATCACCCAAATTCACATGTGCGGTGCTGGAACAAGCTGAAGGCCAGTAGCCAACTGTAAACAGATTTTTTTTTTTTTTTTTTTTGGCGGGGGGTGGGGTGCTGAGACAGGATTTTTCTGTGTAACCTCGGCTGTCCTGGACTCGCTTTGTAGACCAGGGTCGCCTCAAAAATCACAGAGCTCTGCCTGCCTCTGCCTCCCTGAGTGCTGGGATCACAGGAGTGTGCCAGCCCCTGGCTCTTAGAATAGAGTTAATTTTTTTTTTTTTTTTATGTGCATCAGCGTGAAAGTGTCAGATCCCTTGGAAATGGAGACCGTTGTGAGCTGCCTTGTGGGTGCTGGGAACTGAACCCGGATCCTTTGGAAGAGCAGACAGTGCTCTTAACCACTGAGCCATCTCTCCAGCCCTATAATAGATTTTTTTTTTAGATTTATTTATTTATACAACATTGTGCCTGCACACCAGATCTTACTATAGATGGTTATGAGCCACCATGTGGTTGCTGGGAATTGAACTCAGGACCTTTGGAAGAACAGCGAATGTTCCTAACCTCTGAGCCATCTCATCAGCCACCTTAGAATAGATTTAAAAAAAAAAATAGAGTTAATAAAGAGCCAATATGGCAGCACACACCTATAACCTGCGATCCTGTGATCCCAGCATTTGAGAGGCAGAGGAAGGAGGTAAAAGGGACTGGCATAGGCTCAGGACATCCCAAGACCGAGTTCTCAGCACAAAGGGGATTTTTTTTTTCCAGAGAGACAAAGGTCAGGGAATAAGAGACAAAGACGGGATTCAGGGGACAACAGTGAAGGGGAGGGGGTATTTGTCCTGGAGGGGGACAAAGGACTGCCTCTGGATAGAGAGGAGACAGACATGGCACATAGGCCACTGGCAGTTTATAAAGATACAAGGGGAAACCCAAACCCGTGTTAGGATGAGGTGTTTAGTTGGTCTTGTTTTGTTTGCTTGTTTTCAGAGACAGGGTTTCTCTGTGTGGCCCTGGCTATCCTGAAACTCACTCCATAGACCAGGCTGGCCTCAAACTCAGAGATCTGCCGGGCACTGACTCTCAAGTGCTGGGATTAAAGAAGTGTACCATCACTGCCGGGCTTGGTTTCTTTTTGTTTTTGTTTTTTGTTGTTATTGTTGTTCTGTTTTTAGAAACAGGGTTTCTCTGTGTAGCCTTGGCTGTCCTGGACTCACCCTGTGGACAAGTCCTCAAGCTGACATCAATCTGCCTGTCTCTACCTTCCTGAGCGCTGGGATTGCAGGCATGCACCACTAAGCCTGGCCTTTTTATTTTTAATAACTTTTTTATTATTTTTTTCAATGTATGAGTGCTCTGTTTGCATGCACACCTGCATGCCAGAAGAAGGCATCAGACCCATGTGGGTTCTGGAACTTGAACTCAGGACCTCTGGAAGAGCACCCAGTGTTCTTAACCGAGATGAGCAATCTCACCAGCTCCAGAGGCTTTTAGTTTTAATTGGGCATGTCAGTTAGGTGAGCCATGAGGGCTTTGAGTTGCTGGATTTCAATACTTTGATAACTGGACCTTGGTAGTCAGATTCTGGCGGAGGAAATGGCCAAATAAGGGAATAGACCTTGGTGGCTAGCTTTAGGAATGTAATCTAACAGTTTTTTAGCAAGGCAGAGGGAATGAAAGAGAAGGGAAAGACCATCCAGAGCCATGTTTGTCATGCTCAGCCTGGCTGGAGTTCCTTCAGGAGGGTCAGGAGTTCAAGCCCAGCCTGAGCTATGTGAGGCCCTGTGTCAACAACAAAAATATTTAGTTGCCAGGCCTGGTGACACACACTTGTAACCACAATACAGAGGAGGCAGAGGCCAAAGGCAAAGGCAAGAGGATCACCTAAAGTTCAAGGGCAGCTTAGTCAAAATATTAGCACTTTTGTGTCAAAACAAAGATTTAATAAAGAAAACATTTGCTAGGCAGATGAAGTTGTTCAGCATGTAGACTCTTGCAGCCTAATGATTTCAGTTCAATCCCTGGGATCCGCAAAGTGGAACTTGACTCCTACGCGTTAATTATCCTCTGACTTCCAAATGGGCACAGGAGTGCGTGTACACCCACACAATTTTATTTTTTAGGATTTATATATATCCTAAAAAATAAAATATATATATATATATATATATATATATATATATATATATATATATATATATATATATATAGTGGCACTCCATAGACCAGGTTGACCTCAGATTCACAGGGATCCACCTGCCTCTGCCTCCTAAATACTGAGACTAAAGGCGTGTACCACCTCTCCTGACAACTAATCAAGTTTTGTTTTGTTTTTTTGTTTTGTTTTGTTTTGTTTTGTTTTAACTAATCAAGTTTTAAAAACAGGAAATATGCTGCAGGAGAGACAGAGACTCAGTGGGAGAAATAATTTGTCTCAGAATTACTTCTCTAAATTTGGTTTTTAAAGATAGCATTTCTCTGTGTGGCCCTGGCTGTCCTGGACTCACTTTGTAGACCAGGCTGTTCTGGAACTCAGAGATCTGCCTGCCTCTGCCTCTAGGCCTGGCTTTTTTTTTTTTTTTTTTTTTAACCCAAGAGACTTCCTTGGTCTTGTCTCCTCTGTCATTTATGTGGGTCCAGATCTGGACAGCTAAACAGACACCTCACCGTGTTAGCTGGTAAACTTTACAGCACCAGTTGTCTTTTTGTTTGTTTAGGGTAAGATGCCATGGCCTTTTTGTTCCAACATGTCCCCTGACAGCGAGGTCAAATCAAAATCACTGAATAAGTCCGAGATAGCTACCTCTAGCCCACCCCAGTACCCTGGCTCTTTCATATGGAGACCGAGCCCTGCCTGACACTGATTCATCATACAGGATAGAACTCTAAGGCATGGAAGGCCTGAGTGGCGTTTTTGGGCTGGGGAGGGAGCGGTTACTGTGAGAGACTGGTAACTGGGCTGACATTTTTGTTGTGGAGGTTTTTTGTTTTTTCAGACAGGGTTTCTCTGCGTAGCCTTGGCTGTCCCAGACTAGCTTTGTAGACCAGGCTGGGCTCAGACCCTGAGTGCTGGGGTTACAGGAATTCACTACCGTGTCCACTCAGGAGGGAGAAGGGGGTGGATTTCTGAATTGAAGAGGCAGACTGTGAGGTCGTCTAGAGGTCAGAAGGTCCTCTGTGGTAGAAGGCGGGTGTTGATGGTAGTGGTTGAGAACTCGGAGCTAACACAGACCTTCGGGAGTTTAATGGTCTGTAAACTGGAAGACACCAGTCTTATCATATGGCTAACACAGGACAAATGGAAAGGGAGGAATAATACTGGTGAGCAGACCCAGGGGAGAGAGAACAACGAAAGCCACCCCTTGTGTCCATTACAGGCGTCAGCCTCTGCAAAGCAGAATGGGAACTGTAATCAAAAGCAAAGCCATAATACCAACGCAGGCGATGCACATAGGCGCACTAGGAACATAAACACAAAAAACCCGCAGAGCTGGTTTATAGGACTTATCGATTGAACAACACTGACTGGAACTGGCTTTGCATGTGCCACAACGTTTGCCACAAAACTCTAACTTTGTACCAGTAATAGTAGTCCTGCACAGGCAGGACCTCAAAAAATTGGGTTCCTCTCCACGGAAATCTTTAGTAAAAGGCGAAAGATTTATACGATCTGAAGAGAAACCAGAGTATGCCTCCAGGCTCCCGCCCACCGTCCTCGGCCGCCTGTCACTCCTACATCACCGATGGGAGCCAGCTGAACGAAACAAAAGGCTAATGACTCCTGCTTCCGTCCTACATTAAGTCTGTCAAAGCCGCACCACTATTAAGGAAACAAAGCGAAGAAGAAAAAAGAGTTCACATTTTTAAGTGTAAGCGCGGGTCTGTGCGCGGTGCATTGTGGGTATGTAAAAGACGCTAAAGGACACACCGGGCTTCGGAAGCGCGGCCTTTCTCGCCGTGCGATCGCGGGTCTGCCACTAGGAGGCAGGAGGAAAGCCGAACCTCCGGGAACCTACAAACCAACCACACAGCCTGGCCCTGCCGAGCGGGCCCGGCGACCCGTGAATGGCTACTGCGGAGAGGAGACTGTGGTAGGTCGTTCCAGCCCCACGCGCGTTTGGTCGGCGCTGATTGTCTGGAAAACAAAACAACAACAAGGCAGAGAGCCCTCGTTGCTCTCATGGAACACACACGGTGGCTCACAGCCATCTTCTGAACTCCATGGGCAGCAGGCGTGCGCGCCCTGGTGTATATGTTCATACACACAACAGTTTTTAAAATAATAAAAGCAGGCAAATCAGCTGATATTCTCAGGTGAACCGACTACTTCCCGTTCACATGTTGAGGCCCTGCCTGGTACCTGAGTGGCTTAGGGTCACTACACTGCTGTGATGAAGCACAGTGACTAAAAGCAACTTGGGGAGGAAAGGGGTTTTTTTGCTCACAATCACATAAAACAGTTCATTATCAAAAGTAGTGAAGGCAGGAACTCAGGGCAGAACCTGGAGGCAGGAGCTGATGAAGAGGCCATGGTGGAGTGCTGCTTACTGGCTTGCTCTCCGGGGCTGCTCAGCCTGCTTTCCTGTAGAACCCAGGACCACCTGTCCAGGGATAGCACCACCCACAATGGCCTGGGCCCGCTCCCACTGACCGCTAAGAGAATGCCTCAGGATCTTAGGGAGACATTTTCTTACTTGAGGCTCCCTCCTTTCTGATGACTCTAGCTTGTGTCAAGTTGACATAAAACTAGCCAGCGCAATTAGAAGATGATTTTTTAACAAATTATTTTGTTATTCCAGACGGGGTTTCTGTGTAGCCCTAGCTGTCCTGGAAGTTGCTGTGCAGACTGCTGGCCAGGCTCTCACTGTAGACCAGGCTAGGCTGGTTTGGAAGTCACTATGCAGACCAGAAATGTGAATTCATTTGGATACTGGGTTATACCAAGCACATTTTTTTCAAAAAGCATGGAGGCTCCAGAGGACTATCAGGAAGACAAAAGCAGGAGGAAAGTCTGGAATCTCTGCCTTCATTTTGAGTCCGTTTCCTCTGCTTTGGACCACCTGCTTGCTTCAGTATTTAGGTACACTAACCGCTCAAGGAATAGTGTCTATCTGAATTCCCCAGCACTGGGACTAAATTCCCCAGCACTGGCCATTCTCCATAATGCCAAAGGCATAAGGGCAACCTGAGGAATCTTGCTGTCAGGTTTTTTTGTTTGTTTGTTTTGTTTTACAGTGTTATGTTCTAAACTCCCCAAAGGGGATTAAAGGTATCCAGTTGTTGCCCTAAACCAAGTCTCCTTGGATTCTAGGAACAGCAGAGCTTCAGAAAACTGATAATTACCATTCAGAGAATTATTATCCCTATGGCTATCATACCAATCCCCTTACCTCTCCCTCCTGCGTCAGCATTACAGACATGAACCACCACCCTGATTTCTCCCTCTCTCTCTCTCTTTCTTTCTGTTTTTGTTTTTCTAGACAGGTTTTCTTTGCATGTCTCTGGCTGCCCCAGGACTTGCTCTGTAGATCAGGCTGGCCTCGAACTCCCAGATTCACCTGCCTCTGCCCCTGTGTGGCATGTGCCACCACACTGGCTAGCCCTGTTTTGTTTTTTCCTTAGAACGGGGTCTCCAGTGTTACTGGTGGTCAGGGTCTGAGTCAAGTGCTTCCAGGATCTTGGCATCTTCTTCAAGAATTAAACAGGTCCTAAAAAGTTAGAGGTTAAAAGTGCTTGTTGCTCTTCCAGGGGATTTGACTGAGTTTGAGCTGCAGAATCCACGTTGGATGACTCACACCTACTCATTACTCTAGCTCCAGAGGTCAGGTGTCCTCTTCTAAACCTCCTCGGGCACCCACACACACGTGGCATATTCTCACACAGACACACCCACACATCAAGTCAATCTTTAGGGACTGGAGCAATGGCTAACCCGCCTTCCTTCCACCTCTACCTTTTCAGCATTCACCCTGTGACAGCTGAAGCGACTGAAAAATCAGGAAACCAGAGCTACGCCTAGTGGCTCACACTGGTGTTCTCAACACTCAGGAGGCAGGTTAGGTGTGAGTTCAAGACCAGCCTGGACTAAAGATGAGATCCTGTTTCAAAAATCCATAAAACATGACTTTATTCCCAGCAGAGAAAGACAGAGGCAGGTGTATCTCTGTGAGTTCAAGGCCAGCCTGGTCTCCTTAGCAAGTACCAAGACAGCTAGAGAGATTCTGTCTCAAAAACAAATAAAATAAAATCTAAAAGAGGAAGCTGAGTTCGGTGGCTTACATCCATAATCCTGGCAGTTAGGAGGCTGAAGCAGGTGACTATACAAGTTTGGGACTAGTGTGTGTGTGTAGGGGGGCACACACCTTTAATCCCAGCACTCAGGAGGCAGAGGCAGGTGGAACTTTTTGAGTTCAAGGCCAGCCTGGTCTACAGACTGAGTTCCAGAACAGCCAGGGCTACTCAGACAAACCCTGTCTCAAAAAAGAAACAAAGCCAGAACAAGTTTGGAACCAGCTCCAGACCAGCCATGGATAGAAAGTGAGACCTTAAAAGTTGAGGGAGGGAGGACAGGAGGGAAACAGGAAACGAGGAAACTAAGCTGAAAGCTGGATATCACCTACAGCAAGGCCTTCGGGGCACAGGAGCTTCACACACCTACCCACCCCTCACCCTCAGCCCATGATCACAGAAGGCATCACCAGATAGGAGAGAACCAAAGCCCTTCCTCACCTACCAGTGACCAGCATCTGCCCTTCTCCCTTCCGAGCCACACCTCAGCACTGGGCCAGAGGCCACCTCTGACTCCTGCCTCTCTGTCTGTCTCTGTTCTATTGTTTACTCCTACGAGCGAGTTGCTGGTTCGCAAGCCCCAGGGATCCACCTGCCTGCCCAGCTCTCCAGCGCTGGAGTTACACTCGCACGTTGGTGCTGAGATCCAAACTCAAGTCCCCGTGCTTGAGCAGCAAAGCGCTGCAGGGTATTTGATCCCATTGTGGAACTCAAAATTGTGAACGGTAAAACCCTGCTTCTCCTTTGGTGTGGTTGAACCCTATCACACACCTTTAATACAAGACCTTTTTCATTGTAAACAGATGATTATGGTGTGGTTCACCCAGCCTTAACACACACCTTTAATCCAAGAGCTTTCTGTACATAAGATTTAATAAAATTAACCGTAGGTCAAGAGTCAGATCAAGAAACCAGCTGACAGGGATTAAAGAGTAGGAGGGATTTTGAGTTGAGGGTAAATAAAACAGTGTGGAGAAGAAGAAAAAGCTTTTAGCTCAAGCTCTGGCTTTAGCTTTAGTTTAGGCTTCAGCTCCTCAGCTCCCTGACTTTTGGGGCTTTGAGCTAGCAAGCCTTTGGCCTTGGAATTTTTGGCCTTTTCTTACTAAGCTATTAGTTATGCTAGTGAGCCCTTTGGGCTTTTTCCATCCAGACCTGAGCTGAGGAGGAAGATCAGCTGGGTTCTTTCTCTGCCTCTCTAGGCTAGCAGGTTTTTACCCCAGCATCTGGCCCCTGAGTCTTTATTGGTAAGACAGAACAGTTGGGATTTTCATTTTTGTCTATAACAACAACAAACACTCCACAGTCCACCTTTTAATGATATGAACAAGTATTTGTTCTATGAGCGAGTTATATGCCTGAGCCCTTTAGTGGAGGGTGGGTTAGTGGAGGGAGGCTTGGTCTTTTGAAATGGTCTTGTTATGGGACCAAGTCCTAGCCTCCTGAGTAGGTAGAATTGCAGCTTGTCCTCAGTCCCCAAGGGTATTGTGCGTTGTTTATGTCATTTGTCCTCATTATTTTTAAGTTCGAGCATGTGCGTGCAGGTGCTTCGGGAGGCCAGAGGGAAGGATGGTAGAGGGACAGGGGACTGGAATCAAGCTTGCAAGAGTGGTACTGCTTTGATTTTTTTGTTTTGCTTGTTTGTGTGTATTTTGAGATAAGGTTTCTCTGTGTAACAGCCAGTAACACTGGCTGTCCTGGGCTCACTTATGTACATGAGGCTGGCCTTGAGCTTACTGAGATCTGCCTGCCTCTGCCTCCTGAGTGCTGGGATTAAAGACAAGTGCCACCATGCCCAGTAGCTGTACACATTTTTATGATATGTGTTTCTTCTTCTTCTTTCTTTGTGTGTGTGTGTGTGTGTGTGTGTGTGTGTGTGTGTGTGTGTGCCTGAGACCAGTAGTTTTGGGTTTACCCTATGTCTCTGGGCATTCTAGTGTCTGGTCCTTGGTCACTCAAGCAGTATTAGGTATGTTTCCCTCTTAATGAGAATACAGGAATGGACCACCTACACAATTCTGGTTTTGTAGGTTTTTTGTTTGTTTGTTTGTTTTTGTTTTTAATACCTCCTCTCCTTCCGTCTGGCCCTAGCTTATCAGGTATCTTCAGGATGGTTGCAATGTCCTTATCTGTGGCCTAGCAAGGCTGCTCCTCCCTCAGGGGGGAGGGGAAGCTCATGAGTTCATGTCAGAAACAGTCCCTGTCTCCCTTACTAGGGATACTGAGCTACCATGGGCTATGTCTGAGCAGGGGTTGTAGGTTATATCCATACACGATTCTTGGTTTTGTAATTCTTACAAAAGGAATCCAAAAATAGTAGATTGGTAGAAAGGACATAGCAGGACATAGTGACATAATCACTTTAACCCAGCAGTTGGGAGGCAGAATCAAGTCAGCCTA